GTGGGGATGTGATTAAGTGAGATAGTGCATGGGGAAATTCTATTGTAATTCCCAAAGCACCTGACCAGGTCCTCCATTGTCCCCAAACTGCCGAGACATGCTGAAGGACAACCTAGAGACATGTAAATCAGTACACAGTGATAGTAACAGCTTTCAGTTATTGAAAGCTTGCTGTGAACAAAGCACACAACCTAAACCTTTGCTTATCTAATCTTTACACAGTTGTCTAAAGTAACTTCTTTATTATCCTTATTTTATAGATGAACAATTTGAGGCTTAGAGAGGTATAGAGCCACATGAGAGGCTTGCAAGAAGTAATTATTAACATTCGTTGAGCTCTTACTATGATCAAGGCACCGAGCTAAGCACTTCATACACATTAACTCATTCGATCCTCTCAGCAGCCCCTTTTCACAGACGGGGAAGCTGAGGTTAAGCACATTGCATGCTCAGAAAGGACTTAATGGAGTCAAAGGGATGGCAAGAAATGAGAATTGATTACTGAAGATGAAAATAGACCTGAGGATCTGAAAGTTCTTGAAAGGAAGGATGATTTTCAGTTTTTATCAGTCGCCCAAGTCACATAAGAACAGGCTCAGCATTTGAACCCAATGACCAATCCTGGTCTCCTATCCATTTCACTCCKAGTCTCCTCCTAAGACACCCTAAACTAATAGTTTTGGAGCAAGGTGGGTGGAATTTGGCTGCTYCGGGGGGATCTACATCACACTCAATTTCTCCACTTCTCTGCCMCTTGTGCCTATGAGTATAGAGAGGACTCATCCACTTTTCCCATCCCCAGGTGGCTCTGTGCTGCCCTCAGACCATCCCAGAGCCTGTAAATCTGTTAAAATGGCACGTGTCTTTGCTATCCCTTCCTTTATCTGGTGTCTGGGAGCTATCCAGCTTACACCAYTCACAGGTCTCTTTGCCACCAGAAACAAGATAATCAATCATGGATCCCCCTAAAATCCCATAAAAGGCACTGACACACAAGGCCTTGCACCCTTCTGTTATAATATTGAGTTCTGCATGCAGAGCCATTAAAGTCCTGGACTCTCTGACACCCATAGTAGGGCTCACTCAGAGTAGGTACTGGTCCACCCCTGAAATATCAGATTATTTCCATGGTTATTTTCAGCTCTGGTTTCCCAGCAGTTCTGCAGTTGTCTGGAAAGATGGCCTGTAGTAGTCTGTGTGGGGTCCTGAAGGCTGTGTGAGTTTCTTCCCCTGGAAGAGGGGAAAGAATCCTCTTTGAGCTACTACCAGGAGACCTTCGTCCCTGGCATGGGGACATATCCCCCTCAAGGGTCTACCAGGCCCTGAAAAACCCTTAGCAGCCTGTTAGTTTGCCCTGCTCAGCTCTCTGCCCATCCACCAGCCTGTCATCTCTTCTGTCACTGTGAAAACACACTTAGCATCTGTTCATGAAACCCAAATAATTCAGGACCAAGGGGAGTCTATGAAATTCTCTTTGGAATGCCTGCTTCCCTGATTTTCCATCTACTGCAAAGAGAGCCCATAAAATCAAGAACAATGCATCTCAAGGCTGCAAGAGCCTTAGAGGTACCTTTTATAGTAACGGTGTATTTGTTAATAATGGCAGCAGACATTCAGGACTTTCCCCAGTGTTTTATGAGGGTCAGTTGATCTTCACAGAGGCCCTAGCAAGTGGGTGCTATTGTTTCTATTCTGAGGAAACCAAGGTGCCAAGAGCCAACTAACTTACCCAGRGTCATTTGCACAGGTGGTAAGTTGCAAAACTCCAGAGACATAATCTGAATTGTCAGGAGAGACTTCGGCGGTTCTAGAGAATGTTCCAGAAGGCCAAAGAGAAGAAGTCAGGTGCCCTGGTCACCAGCTATTCAGCAGAATGGGACACTCTCATCTCTTAACTTTGGGAATATGCAAGAAATGTAATCTTAAAGAATTAGAGTTTAAATGAGAATTTGTTTCATTGGAGGGATCTGTGCCACATGCCGGGTGCTGGGTACTTGGTCAGACTTACTCCTCACAAAAGCTCTACGTGGCCATGGTTGGCATTCTCACTGTGCAGGTGTGAAAAATCAGATGTGAAAGTAGATCAGTAGGCCATAGAGTTGATGAAAGATAGCCACAGCTCACGAAGATGATCATAAATACAGTATTTGTGCTAATTACATCCTGTCTTTTCCCCAGATGGCAATGAAATAGTCACTGAGTACCTACTATTAGTCTTTGATTCTCACAACAGGCCTAACGGGCAAATATTATTATCCTTATATTTTTCAAATGAGGAGACGTATGCTTATAAATATTGAGTGTTTTACCCAAGGAAACTTAGGAAGCAGCACAGTGAAGATTCAAATTGAAATAGGTCTGATTCCAAAGTTGGAGATCTTTCAACCACTTTACTACAGGGACACACATGTCTGCTTTCCATGTCTCACTGTGGGTTAGGATGAATAAAGGGGTCAGATCTGTGGGTGGGCAAGACAACCCTACATTCTACTGCCCTCACAGGGATTCCAAATCCAGGCCTCTCTGTCCCAAAACTCCTTCCCTATCTTAGAACACAGCCAACCTTCCGGCAATATGCCSGAGTAACAATGTAGGTTTTTTGGKTTTTTTTTCAAACCCACTGAATTCACTGAAGAAATCTGTCTTTTCCTAGCCACCAGCCCTGGTCCTAGGACCCCTAGATTTGTCTATACCCACAGACAAGGAAATGGAGAGGATACAAATGACACTCTAAACGGGCTTGTGAGCAGGATGGAGTAGCTGTGAGGACAGAGTAGAAATTCTGGAAGTCACAGAATCAGGAAAAGAAAGCTCCAGTAGGAGTAGCAAATAAGGAGGGAGAGAGTGGAGAGGAGGATGGAGGGGTGAGAGAGCTCAGCAAAGCCTGCCTTGTGCCTGCACCAGGGCTCTCAGACTTACAGGGAAGCCATCTGCATTTTGGCCATGTTATTTTAACAGCCCTGAACTCAGATGGTAAAAGTTCAAATAAATATGTTCATTGTTTTAAGGATGATTCTAAGGACATCGTCATCCATTTAGGGAAATCTTTCTACAGTACATAGGAATTTCTTTAATGAATGAAATTAGCCAAATTATGCCATGTACACATATGAATATACCACAGTGAATTTCACCTTTAAGAGGAATGTGGGTGGGGGTGGGGGGAGTACTGGGGACTGAAATGGAGCAAATTATTTTTCACATATGTATGAACTTGTCACAATGAACCCCAATATTATATATAATGATAATGCACTAATAAAAAACATTTTTAAAATTTGATAAAATCTAAATATTCCATATTTGAGTTAATGGTATTGAATGATTGAACAGTTGGTCAATTGAATGGTTATGGAAGATATCATTTGGAGACATTGGTTGAAGGGAACATGAGAATTCTGCATGATTCTTGCAACTTCTTGTGAGTCTTAAACTATTTCAAAATCAGATGTTATAAATTGAAAGAAAAAAATTACTTGAAAGAGTGTTGCTTTCCCTAAAAACACCTAGAATGTGACTTCTCTGAGTGAGGATTCTGCTGTGTCATACTCTCCCATTTCACTTTGGATACAAAAATCTCAGAAGCCAATTTCAAATTCATTCTAGAAATACCTTAGCCCTTAAAAGGCTTCAAAACATTTATGGAAAGAAATAGCATATAAATTCATAAACAAACAAAAATACTTAGCTAGCATATGAGATGTATGAGTGGTTTTTTTTAATCATCTAGGAATTCCGTTTTCTGTTACCTGAATGCACTTACCTAAAACCAATTGACCCCTCTCTGCAGGCAGGACTTTGGAGAGTCATCTGTGTGTTGAGAGTTTTCAGCCCTATTATGGTTGGTACCAGGAATGCTCAGCGGATGAGCAGCACAGCGGACCCTGTTTCAGATGCATGTCCCTGAGGCAGGATCAGACTCGGTTTGGTTGCCATGCTTGACCATAGTTCTGCCTTCACAGAGGCCTTTAGGTATTGAAGGTTTAGGGTCTTGAGATAGCCCAGATTCCATTGTCCCTGTGAGGAAGGACATAGTTTTTAGCAGCTACAATCCAGAAAGAAGCACTTCAGAAACACATTTTAGGAAGGCACCTTTTGTGAATAAATGTGAGCTCCAGATATAGGGTTGTTATTACAGCTCATTTCACATTGGGCCCACTCAGACTCTCCACAGACAGAAAGCAAGTGGTGAGCAGCCTACTCTTCTGGACAGAAGGGAAGGAAGCTCAGACAGCCCCTAGATGGGCAGCAGTGTGCACCCTGGGTACCTACCACCCATCAGGAAAGCAAAAAGTGCATAAGAGCTCTGAAAATAGATTATCCCGCTCTACCACTTGCCAATGATGTGAACTTAAGGATTCTTGTCTCCTCTCTGAGTCTCACCTGTAAAATGAGCATGAGATAGCATAACCCACAGACTTATTTTGGGGGGATGGTGAATGTAGTAATATGTGCAAAGGACCAAATAGCATGTCACATGTAGTCAACCCACAAATGTTAAATTTTGTCCCCTCTTCAATAATAATAATAATGAGGTAACGTTTATTATGTCCCAGCTGTTGTGCTAGGTTGTGGAATTTAAAAAAAGAAGAAGAAGAAAATAGTGTTTCTGTCCTTGAATGAATGTCAATTAGTGTTCACAGGACACCATAATGCACATCATCCTACTTAGCCTTGGGACAATTCTCTGAGGTTGGTAATGTCATTCATTCCTGTAGTACAGATGAGGACAGTCATCTGCCGAGAATGGTGACAACACCCCTCAAGTACAATGAGAGGGGTGTGGATTAAATATAGTAAAAGGAGCTCTTGGGATCTGAGGGCTGGGAGCTAGTAGATGGCACCACTATAGGTATGTTGGAGTCTCTTTCCATAGAAATTTTAAGAAAATCCAAGGAGAGCTTGGGTTGGGTGGAGCCATGTGACAAGGGCAGGTCCACAGAGTGAGCTCAAGGATGAGGGCAGCCTTTTCCTGACATCTCCCYGGCTCTTCCCTGCAGGTGTCTGCAGCAACGCCCTGAGGAGAGCCTGCCCACGGCCAGTGTCATCCTCTGTTTTCATGACGAAGCCTGGTCCACCCTCCTGAGGACCGTGCACAGCATCCTTGACACAGCACCCAGGGCTTTCCTGAAAGAGGTCATTCTTGTGGATGACCTCAGTCAACAAGGTAGCTATGGGTTTCCTCCAGGCTCACTGGGGTGGGCCTGGACCCCTGCAACTTCTTGTGAGTCTTAAACTATTTTTTTTAAAAAACCTGCAAAAGAGTGGGGTTTGGAAACCATTTTAGGTAAGTTTCCCAGATGCARAGCTCCAGGTGAGAATTCATGTGCAAGGAACTTATTAATGATGAGCTCCTAGGGAAAACCAGTAAGGGAGTGGGGGAAGCCAGACAGAAAAGGGGAAGAAGCCAAGCAAGTGGAAAGTTCTGGAAGGATCCTGGGGAGGGTCTCTGCAGTCTGATCCCACTGCAGTCTCTCTCCCTCAGGCCCCGGCCTCAACACAGTCCAAAAAATGCTGGAGAGTCACAAGAGGATGACCATTTTTTGAGGGCTCACTGTAACCTAGAACTTGGGTAAAGAGCTTTACAACTCATCTTGTTGAGACCAACTTACCTACTGTCCAGACAAGGAGGTTAGGGCCAAAGGAAACAACTGACCAGAGCTGAATCCTGCTGAAAAAAAAATCTGCTCAAATGCTTCCCCGTCGTGACAGGAAACACTAATGGATATACCTGAAAAGAAGACGGACACAGAGAAGCCCCCACCTGACCTTGAGGTTGATGGTTCTCCAACTTAGGCTGGGTCCAAGTCACCTGGCAGGCCTGATAGAGCCAGCATTTCTGGGTCTGAGCTTGGACCTAGGAATTCCTATTTCTAGTCAGGTGATACTGATGCTGTTGGTCCATGGACCACTTTTTGAGAACTGCTGCTTGGTTTTTGGTTCCTACATTTCTGAATTACCTAAATGACCTCAACAGGCCCCATCCGGCTTTGTAGAAAGATGAGGCTATTGAAGGGAAGCTAAGCATTTTCTGAGGTTTAAAAAACATGGTTGTTTTGTTTTATCTGGTGTTGGGGATCAAACCTGGGATCTTGTACATGCCAGACAGAAATTCTGCCACTGAGCCACATTCTCAGCCCTGAGAAGCATGTTTCTAAAAGCAGTGATAGAGGACAGGAAAGAATGACGAGGGCCTCTTCTTTCTAAGGTCCTTGTGGCAGGATTTTTTCCAACCTGACCATGGCAGAAATTCAGACCAGCCAGAGGTTSTGGGAGTGCATGGGTTCCTGAGCTGTATCTGGCTGGGTGTTGGGCAGGACTGATAAGCAGGTACTGGACTGGGCTGGGCCTGCTGGTCAAAGTGCTCGGTGGGTCTTCCAACCCTCATCTGGGCTGGGTCCTCCAGGAGGGTGGGAAGTAGAGGAGCTGGTGTTTGGGAAGTGGCTGCTTCCAACATCTGCAGTGCTGACCAGTACCCTTAGAAGGCATCTGGAGCCCATGCTCAGCCATTAAGGTTTGCTATCTGCTCACCAACACTTCCTCTGCCCCTCACCACTGGGCTGGCTTTCTGTTCAGCGGCCTCATGTTCCTTGCCAACACTGAAGAGCAAGGCTTTTCCCGAAAGCAGGGGTGGCACTGGCTCCCTTCACCCCCGCTTGCTCCCCTGTGACCTGTGTGCCTGCTGAGACCCAGAGTGCAGACCATAGCCACCACACTCACTGTTCTCATCTAATCCTTACAGCCACCCTGAGTTCACCAACCCTGCTTTACACCTGAGGAGAACCAGAACACAAAGCTGCTGCAGGCATCCTGGAGTCACCCCAAATTATAGTCACAGCCAGGCAGTAGAGTCAGCTAGACAAGCTTCAGATTATTCATCAGGGATAATAATTTCCACATTGAACCATTAAACCAGAAAGTGCATGGGATGCCCAGCCCATGACAGATTTCCTGCAAATGGACTTCATTGCTATTCTCTGAGAGGAACAGGTCAGGTTTTACCAGCTCCCTCTGAGCACACTACCCAAGGTGATCTTCTCACCTGCCTCGAAGACTCTGAGAATTTCAAACTGCCTCTTCAATCTTCCTTAATCTATTCTGGAGCTCTCGATAGCTTCTCTCCTAAATAAGACTAAGAAGGGAAGTTTGGGGTACATCAAGGCAAGGGCATTGGTGCAATTCTATTGGAAGTGCATTCTACATTCCTTATACGATACAAGTTTGTCAACAGTCTGGAGATTCTTAGCTCATAAAGCTTAGGGACCTTTATTGCTCTAAGYCTAAAGGGGGATTGTTCTGCTTTGTTTTCTCTATCTGTAAGGTACCTGTTAGCCACTGCAAGCCTCCATGGTAAATGTGTGTAAGCAGAGCTGCTGTTTGTCAGAGTGCAAAGCCACGCCTGCCAGCTCTTAAACTGCTAAAGTTCCCATTCTGTTCTACCACAGTATCCCTACAATGAGACTACCTCAGCTAGCACCCCAGTGACCTCTCAGATGCTGATTCAATGAGCCCTGTACTTACCTGCCTTGACCATCATCTTAGATTGGGTCCCTGGGAGCAGAGCTGGAGACAGGATTCACGGACATGTGCTTGTTTCAGTGGATGTTTTAGAGGATGAGAGAACAATAGCAAGTTCTCTCCTCTCCTGGTTTTGCATACCAAGCCTCGGTTTTTGGTGGATAGAATTGTGACCCCTTCCAAACTAAGGAAGCTTATTACATCTTAGCAACAACCACCTTATAACAATGCAGTTGAGTTTCAGGACCTCTTTTGCTCACGATGGCTTCTAAGAGACAGCCACTGACAGTGACCCTAGCGATGGTCATCACAGTCCCATTGACTATTGCATCTGTGACACCAATGACCAGAACCTTGTTGATTCCAGGACAACTCAAGTCTGCTCTCAGCGAATATGTGGCCAAGCTGGAGGGTGTGAAGTTGCTCAGGAGCAATAAGAGACTGGGTGCCATCAGGGCCCGGATGTTGGGAGCCACCAGGGCCACAGGGGACGTGCTGGTCTTCATGGATGCCCACTGCGAGTGCCACCCAGGCTGGCTGGAGCCCCTGCTCAGCAGAATAGCTGGTGACAGGTAACACCCACGAGGGTCTGCAGTGTGAGAGGTGGGTCTGGGAGAAATAGCCCACAGACTCAGCCACTGTTCTTTGTAGAAGACTATCCCCAAATCACAGTGACTGTGTGTTACTGGAGGCAGACTCTAATGCTGTCCCGTTTCCTAATTCCTAATTCCCATCCTGGTCTCACAGACAGATGGCTCTCAGAGAGACCTTGGAGACCATCTTGTCCCATCTCATGATCCCCACTATTGAAAACAACTGAGTTGCAGGGATGGTGACCACACCCCCAGGGTTACAGCCACTAGCAGCTGGGCTGTCTCCTGTGCTTCCTTTAAGAACCTTAGGAACCCAGAGATGGGCATTAAGTCTTGTGTTATGTCTAGCCCTATGTATGACTTCATATGTATGTCATTTTTACAGTCTTTCCACAGTAACCCTCCATGTGGTGGTTCAGGCAGGCATTTTTTGCTTCTGTGTCCTGTAGGGGACAAATGGAGGCTCAGGGGGGTGACATGCTGTGCAAGGGCACCCAGAGGACAGGCAGCTTCTCAGGTTTCCTGACTCTGGGTCCGGTGTTCTTCTTTCTGTGTATGATTTCTTTATATCTTTTTACATTGGGCAGCAGGTACTGAGGATTGAATTCAGGGGCATTTTACCCCTGAGTTATACCCCCAGCCCTTTATTTTGAGACAGGGTCTCACTAAGTTGAACCTGTGATCCTCCTGACTCAGCCTCCTGAGTTGCTGGGATTACAGGTGTCTGATTTCTTTTTAAGAACTGAGGAGAAATATTGGGCCATTCCACCCTGTATCCTAGCTGTGAGACACAAGTTAAACATGGATATGAGTCCCTTGTGTTTGCTGTCACACTGGTGTCACACTGTCACACTGTCACACTGGTGTACATACCCAGCCTCTGACTCTGCTACATTCCTGCCTTTCCTTCTCCCTTATGTCCTCTCTCTTCTGTGTGGTATGACTCTTTCATCCACCCCACACCTCCTTCATGGCTTCCTGTCAACGCTGCTTCCCAGGGTCCAGCTCATAAGCCTCAGGTGTGAGGGCCTCAAAGAAAAAGCTATCTGTCTAGAATCTGAGTTGTCATTTATGTCCTCTGAGCATGGCAATGCCCTCTTCAGGACTTGCATTTCTCCCCCAGGGATGTGACCACACAGCCCTTGTGGGCTTCCCAAGGCAGYTCCTCGCATGGAAAGCAAAGCCACAGAGGCCACCAAATGTAGCTGCTTAGAGACAGTAAAGGGGACCTAGCTGCATCTGAGGCTCATGTCAAGGGACTTTCGGTTTCTAGATGAGGAGGACCTAGTGTCTAAAAATGAGGAAAGGTCTTTAAGAGTGAGCAGTGTGATAAGCCACACACCAGTTACTTCGGAGTCATAACACCCTGGTTACCATTCYTGATTCCCTATAGCGATCCCTGGAGCAGGTCTACCATTAGCCATATGCAACTTTGAATTATTTCTTTAGATTTTTTTCTTCCTCCTCACCCTTTATTYCCATCTCTCAGAGAATTTGTCATAATATACTGATTTTGTTAGAATAAGATATTAAAATGCCAACTGCCAGAAAATTGTCAAATAAATATGCAAATTTATAGTATATATAATATTAGAGGTGTTCTCTAGGGTCGAGCCCTGCAGAACCCCCGTAAATATACATAGCAACCCTACACAAAGTCTCTCTGTGAGCAGTTGGCTTTAGAGCAGTCCTGGAAGGTGCTGACAGATGGTCAGTTTCTATATACAGTAGCAATCATGAAAATGAAGAACATCTGTCATTTCCAGCTTCCAGTTGCCTGACGTGCGTCTCCACCGGCCCAAGCCAAGGAGTAGAAGTCATACTGCTAAAAAAATGAAGGTTTCTAAGGAGAAGGAGGCAGTCTTCAGTAGGAACCAAATGACAATGTCATTTCAAGACATTGGCTAAATTGTCTCCCATTTAAACATTGGACTGGGCCCTAAGAGATATCAAGTCCTTAAGTCACCATTACTCAGCAAGGCTAATCCTGCTTAGTGGGGAGAAACAAGGTGTGGCTGGAACAGAGCTCCTCCCACCTCTCTACCCTTCAAGTGGTTAAAAGATGGAGCAGTCAGACATCCCCTGTGTGCTTGTGTGTGAATGTGGGAGCGTGTGTCTAGGTGCCTGTGAAGGAGCAGGAAGGCATCAAGATAACCCCACCCCTCAGAGGGAGCAGCCACCAAAGAAACTCCCCAGCCCCCAATTCCGTTCACACCCCTTGGCATGACAAATTCCCTGATCTGACCCTGGAAGTGCTAGGATACCAGTCCCTGAGCAGCAAGAACTGTGGGAAAAGAATTTAGAGGCTGCCTCATCTCAGCATAAAGACCTTTCCACAAAAAACAAGATTATGTGTGAACTTTCAAAATGGTGGACTTGGAGGGACATCCAGGCCCAGGAAAAGTAAAGAGAGATAAGATAAACTAGGACTATTCTTTATTCTTGGGAAAGCATTGGCTGGGAATGTTGAAATGTGGTTACTTTGGAATCTCTGGGCAGCAGGGTATTATTAGTTATCCTCACATATTCCAGTTAGCTAGTTTTTGTTGACCATTCAAATGCCTCTGTTTGTCTTTTGAAACCCAAACACTTGACCTCCTGGAATTTGGAAAGTTTTCCCAGAGGCTCTGCCTTGCACCTGCCCGGGATTAAGAAGGACTTTTAGAGACTGGGAAGAGTGCTGGGGTGGGGACAGGAAAGGGACCGTGGAAAGTAGTAGGGTTATCAGATATGATTAATGCATGGCATATACATGTATGGAAAGATCGCAGTGAATTCCACCCATTTTTAAAATTAACATGTGTTAATATGATAATTTAAAAATTCACAAGTACAAAGATGATGGAGTGAGCAGACACTCGTAGGTCCCTCCAAGTCAAAAGGGGTTGCTTTCCTATTTTTCATTCAGTGAATTCTGAGGACAACATATATACCTGTAGGTACAAAAATAAAAGGCAGAGGGGCTTAATATAAGACTGTGGGGAGTTTTTGTTTCAAATTGATCACTCTTTTTGAGTCACTAGTCTTATGAATTAGTTACTAATTCAGCCCTGATTGATCAGCCACCGTGATCTATGGGAATAAAAACAGAAAACATTTCTCCCTTCACTCGTTGACATTCTGTTCTCCATCTCCATCCTACATGTACTTGAGAAGGCTCATGATTCATCTCCATGTCCCCACTCAAAAGTACAAGAGAAAAGGGGAATTCAGAAAGGAAGGTATTGGGAATCAGGGCTAACTTAGTTATTGGAAGTGAGATTTGCATGACTCTGAGCTTATAGAAATGCAAAGTAAAAATAGTATGAGTTGCTGAGTTCTCACTTATTGATAAAAGGTCATGCCTACTGGGGAGGGATATTGACTAAACTATATTGTTATTTTGTGTGCATGTACAAATATGTAACAACAAATCCCACCAATATGTACAATTATAATGCACCAATAAMAAATGTGGAGGAAAATGATCATGTCCACCTTTGTTGAGTATACAGCCTAAAAGTCTAGGATAAATTGATTGWGTGAGTGTCATTTCCTTTTTTGTCTTGTTTGGATGGATGAATGTAGTACAAATTTGATGCAATTCTTCAGAATTCAGCTTCATAGCTGCCCTGGGTCTTGATTCTGAAATTCCACAGAATGCTTTGCAAATAGTCAAATCCATCGCCACCATTCAATTTATCCCCATAGTAAGTGAAGACTGGGGAGGAAGTCTGGGTACCCTCTTTCCTTTCTACTTCATTCTTGATTCATGGTTTTCTTAGATCAATGCAGGACACCCCAAAATAATGAAGACTTAGAAGGATTGAATTCTCTTGTTTTTCAGTGGAACAATGTAAAAAGGGAAGAAAAACCTATCTAGATCTTTTCTCTAAATGTGAATACCATAATGCCCCATACCAACATCAGTCACTTAAGGAGACAGAGTAAAACAGATAATTGGATCCTGGGATTGGATCCAGATAATTGGTCCTGTCTATATGGTGTGGGCTTCTCCTGCCCTGGCTATCTTCAAGATGGACAAAGCAGAAATGGAAATCAATGGACAAATGCAGTTGGCTGGCATATCTCCTTCCAGGAAGCTCACTTTTCCTGAAGTGGTGTCTACAGCCTCTCCTGAGTTCAGACCAGATCCATTCCACAGCACAGATATGAAACATAATTGTGAGGAGTCAGAATAAAATTTAATTGAGATATTGAGTAGGTAAAGAGCAGCTTCTGGTGCACCCAGGTGATGCCTTGTTTAGTTAAAAAGTGAAATTTCAACTGTGCTGGTTTTCTACCTCTCTCTCTCTCTCTCTCTCTCTCTCTCTCAAAACTTATCACCATTAGTGCAAAAAAAATGGGGATAAAGTAGAGCCCCCAACAGCAGCAGAAAATGAACAAATAAACCTGGACTCAATACTTTCTTTATTTATAGATACCATGTGCTCATAAATTGTAAACATTACCACCAGGGATATCTCCCAGTCTTGATGATCCTGATTCCTCAAGCCARGGAAGTTTTAGGATACAGAAAGAAACAAGAACTAGACTGAGTCCATGAACCTCTGACACTGTGTGTGATCGTTTGCATGTGTGCATATAATGCAATTTTCTCAGGAGGGGTCTATACTTTTTCCTGATTCTTAGAAAAGAACAACGTTCTTGGAATATTATGCTTAGAAAGATCTTTATGGGAGGTAGCTCAACCTCCCACTTTACAAGTGAGGAAACCAAGGCTAGAGGGGTGTAATAGCTATTTTAAGATCATACAACTCAGCTCATTAGTGGCAGAGCTGAGCCTAGGACACATTTYCTCTGTCTCCCGCTGCTGTTAAAAGAAATTTTAAAAGAAAAACAGGGGCGGGTATACTCTTTAACAAAATGGGCCCCCATTTATTATGGAAAAACATGATTTTCAGAACAGTGCTATGTAACAGAAATAGAACATGAGCCATATGTGTAATTTTTAAAAATTAACAGTCATATTACAAAATAAAAGTCAGCATATGAAATTAATTTTAAGAATATATTTTAATAACCCCAATATATCCAAAGTATTATTTCAACATGTAATCAATATAAAATTTATTGAGGTTTTCTTATATCCCTTTTCCATACTAAGTTCTACATCAGAGTGTGTATTCTAATTTTATACCACATCTTAGTTTGGGCAATCTACATTTGGGGTGCCCAATAGGCCCTAGTGGCTGGTGGCTGCCATATTGGACAGCATATGTATAGATTTGGTTTCCATCCCCGGAAATGAATGGTTTGTGTCCTTTGTCTGATCCCTCGATTCTTTCCAGGAGCCGTGTGGTATCCCCAGTCATAGACGTGATTGACTGGAAGACTTTCCAATATTATCCGTCCAAGGATCTTCAGCGTGGGGTCTTGGACTGGAAGCTGGATTTCCACTGGGAGCCTTTGCCAGAGAATGAGAGGAAGGCCCTCCGGTTCCCCACCAGCCCCATCAGGTGAGGCCCCGTGGCACAACCTGTCCTTCCCTGGTTCCATACTTTCCGTACAAGGTAATCTATGCCTCAGTTTCCTTATTAGTGAATTGAGAATAATAGTAGTATTACTTTATAAGATTGTTGTGAAAACCAAATGAGTTGATATATAAAAAGCCTTTAGAAAGCTCTGGGCACTCAGAGGTAAGTGTTACTCTCATTGTTGTATTGATAGAGTCCAGTGAAGCTCTTCCACAGGGCTTTGGTGGATGTTGGAAAAGTGGAAGAGGAGGAGCTTGACCCAGCTCTTTCACCAGGTAGCATTGGAAATTCCTTGGCCTCAAATACTTGTTCAGCATAAATGAAGGATTTAGCAAGGTGAATATTAAAACATCATAAATCTCAAAATACATCCAGTTTTATGGGTCATTTTTCACATATTTGATTTTTGGASACCTATTTAAGCAGATGTCCTAGATATCTTCTCTGTTTAACAAGACACCTCAAAACAGTGGTGTAAGACAATAGCCATTTAATTAAGCTCACAGATTCTGATCATGGGTTCTGAAAGGGCATGGATGGGTAGGCTGGTGGTTGTCTCTCCTTTATRGTGTCTGGGGTACATACAGATTAAATAAATTGCTCAATGTCATAAAATTAATAAGAGGTAGATCCAAAGTTAAAACCTGGACAGCCAGGCTCCTGAGACCCCATGCTTCACTACTATGCTGTACTGTGTTGTAAGTACAAGTTTATAGTCCATTATTCAAAACTGAAACCCAAAGAGCTCTGAAAATCAAGCATATTTTTCCKAATTCACAAAGCAGAAGAAGCTGCCCTGGACTGATGCAGGGGTTGGCACAGGCCTGATTTATCCCACTTACTGTGAATATTTGAATGTTTCACTGAAGTAATATTGGTATGTTTGACTAAAGAGTCAAACCAGAGCTTACAAGTAGCATATGACTTCTTTTTAACTGGGATGATTTTTTTWAAAAATTCTTTTTTAGTTGTAGATGGACCCAATAACTTTATTTTATTTATTTATTTTTTATGTGGTGCTGAGGATCGAACCCAGTGCCCCACATGTGCTAGGCAAGCCCTCTACCACTGAGCCACAACCCCAGGCCCAGTATATACTTTTTAAAGTCCAAAAATTTCTTAATTAAAAACACACTGACCCATAGGTTTCAGAGAAGGAAGAGGGGCTTTATGACACCAAAATTTAGTGAGCATGTAAAATGTGGCCTCCACAGTGCTATGCCGTTGACATCACTTGTTTTCCAAACCCCCACAAAGCCCAATTATGAAACACTGTTTTATCCCAATTAGAGACGAGGAAACTCAGCTCAGAGAGGTTCAATACCTCACCCAAGATGGGCAAATAGTGACTAGCASAGTTGGAAACCGTATCTAGAAATCATTACAACATTGATTCCCAGTATTCTAGCAATCTGTGTTCTCTTCCCATAAAACGTTTGTATTTCTGACATTGTTGCTTTGCTCCAGTCTTGAAATTAAAAACACTGAGGTCCATTTGAACCCAGAGTCGACCCTCTTGGCCATTGGAWCTCCCCGCCTGGGAAGGCCCCGGTTTTGCCTACTGTGTTCCAGTTCTGAATGGTCCTCTCTTGCCCATCTTCTCTGCAGGAGTCCTGTGGTGCCTGGAGAGGTGGTGGCCATGGACAGACATTACTTCCAAAACACTGGAGCCTATGATCCTCTCATGTCACTTCGGGGTGGTGAAAACCTTGAAATGTCCTTCAAGGTATGCCCTGTACCAAGGGAGGACACAGTTAGGGTCTCTGGAACCCTGTATATAGTTACAGCTTAAAGGCAGTCATAAGAAATTCAGGGATGAGGCTGTGGCTAAAGTATAAATTCATGACAATAAGGTGTGCCAAACTTCCCATTTCTCTCCCTTCTCTCTTGGGCCCTACCTTGATTTTACTCTCAGCCTCCTGAACTTGACTTTCAAAACCTGCTGTCAGGTAAGGGCATACCATCAGTCATTTACATCTTAGTGAAAGATTACAGAGACTCTTGTGTATTCTCTGTTCATAGCACACTTGGCATCTCAGTTTTGTTTTTTTTTTCAGCTCAATTTTTTTTTTCCAGAACCCATAGGCTAAACAAATACCAACACTACCAACCCATTCTGTGTATTGAGTAGTTTGGTCCAAACGAATTAATATTTGTCCTAACAACTTAGTCCCTGCTGGGTACTGCTTAAATTCTCAAACCTTGGAATCAGATCAGACGACACCCATCATTTTCTGCCCKCATTAATTTTACCACAATAGTTGCTTTTTCATCCTGACAACCTCAAAAAACCCAACCCAGCAAGGACATTCATCATCAAAAGCACAAAGATATGATAATGAGTATGATTACTTGAGCTTGCAGTTTGCAAAATGTTCAACAGACATTATGTATCTGTTTCTCTTAAAAATAAAAAATATYCCAGATGCCCTTAAAGGTCTCTGAGTCACCCCAGGGCACCCAGTTTGGTAACCCCCACCTGGGTATGTTCCARTTAATATGTTTCCTATCATACCACAGTTTTCATTTTAACCTTTATCCCCAAGAGTGGAATGAAAAGACTTTCTGACAAATGAACTTCAGGAATTTGAAAGTGGGAGGGAGCATTGAGGGRCAGAGAGAAACTTCTGGAAATAATGAAGACGATTTAAGGAAGACTCATTTTCACATCTACCACACACGATCCAGTGCATTTGCCTGCAAATGCTTTCAGAAATTCTCTGACARTTAGAAGCATCTTTTACCCTGAAAGCATCCTCTCAGAAGTGGGGTGCTAATACACCTGGTTGCCTCTCTCCCAGGTGCTGAATCTGCACATCTGTTTCAAGGGTGGCATGTTCAGGTAGCTGCATGAGTGTGGCTCCTCACCCCTCSATTCCATTCTGGGAAAACTGTCCCCATTCTTCCAACATTGACACTCTCCTGCTCAGATTCCCAGATCTGGAAATTCCACCCTGAGTACCTTGATGATACTGACCATCTTGTGCTCGTGATTTCTGTGCGACTCACTAGCCCCTCACCAACAGAGTCCCTTCCTCCTCACCATTCTTGGAAGTGGAAGGTAGAGTCATTTACTTTTTCCCTTCATGGCAGGCCTGGCTCTGTGGTGGCTCTGTTGAAATCCTTCCCTGCTCTAGAGTGGGGCACATCTACCGAAATCAGGATACCCACTCCTCCTCCCTTGACCAGGAGGCCATCCTCCGGAACAAAGTCCGCCTTGCTGAGATCTGGCTGGGGTCATTCAAAGAAACCTTCTACAGGCACAGCCCAGAGGCCTTTATTTTGAGCAAGGTAAGGAGAGAGCCAGGTTGAGGGTGGGGTGGGCAGTTCTGTGCCCAGTGCAGGGCCATCTGCTGGAGGCTGGGCCAGGAAGGCCCCTCCCTCTTGCCTGGAGGGAAAAATAGAAACTTTTGGCTCCAGCTTCCCTGAGTTGCCCCCTCCCATATGGCTTCTCTACCTGGTGGGCCTGTCCTTTGTCTCTCCAAGCATCTCCAGAGGACATTACAGATGATCTTGGCATAGAGCTCTCTGATATCTATGAGATGACCTCTGAGGGATGCAACTCTTTACCAAGGGGAAAGAGGAGAGATTGGACACAGATAAACGATGAGACATGCCTCCAAGGGCCTTTTCATCCTGAGAAAAGCGCTCAAGGTTATGGAATTATCCAAGACAGGAAACAAATATAAGCATGAAAATAAAGAGTCCCAAAAAAGCCACAGAAAAAAGTTGAGAATTGAAGCATTTAATTAAATATCCACAGAGTACATTTCCAATTGGTAAATTTTATGGAGTGTCACATAAATGCTACTTCATGTGAGCCATACTGGGATGGGGGACTCCAAAGGTAAGATTCCCAGAACTCACAGTGAACCTGAAACAGCTCCCACAAGCCCCTCACCAGCCAGCAATGCTGGGTGTCAGCTTAATATGAGGATCTCAAGCTAAAGATGAAGGCAGAGACCCTTAAGTACAGAGACATCCCTCCAGCCACTGAATAGGTCTTTCCCTGGGTGCAGGGGAAACTCTGACAGAGATGCCCCATGGAAGAGCCCTATGCCTGCTCTTCTTCCCTGGTCCTCCAAGCTCTGTTTCTGCCAAACCTGGGTCAACCTGCTTTCCCACAGCAGAACAGCTCCAAGGCCTGGGGTGTTGGTGCTCCTTGAACCTCAAGGTTGTTTGTTTCTTTACCTGGGAAGTGCTGGGCTAGGGATGGGACTCAGTGGTGAGGTGCTTGCTTGGCATGTGTGAAGCCCTGGGTATGAGGAAGTGCTCATGATACACAAAGTCTCAGTTCCGTACCRAGGTCTAGACAGGTCAGAGCCCCCTCTTTATCCCCAAGAGTTAGTGACATTTTTGCACAGAGTGACACAGAGCRACGCTGCAGTTGGCAGTCTCCTTAGTTACTCCAAGAAGGGACCTGAAATGAACAAAAATTCTCACAAGAACCTCACATATTTCTTTGCTAGTATCTTTGTTCTTCTTCCATCCTCTTTCTCTGTCTGTTGGAAATAGTCGAATCCAAACACCTCTCTAGAAGTCTGACAGTTATGCCCAGGCACTGCGAGAACATGATGGTTTAGGTTTAAATATTAATTTTTTTTAGTTGTTTGATCCTGAACGTGACTTAGTCACTTGCTGTTTCTGCTTCCTCACTTGCTAAATCTTCCTTATGTTGTTGGGATAATTTCCTCAATTAATATATCCAAAGCCCTTAGAAGAGTGCAAGGCACCAGGGAAATCCTGCATGTGTTTTTACTACCATCATTATTGTCATGGCTACTAATCATTAACAAAGTTARTTAAGTGAGTACCTGCCCTGTGCCAGGCTCTGTGTGAGTCCCTCAGGGGACACTGAATCATGCCCAACACTGTCAGATTCCTGGTGGAGGCAGTGGGGACAGTGGGAGGGCTAGAAATCTCTAGAGCAAAATTAATTTTTTTAGCTATTTTTTAGGCATAGTGGGGACAGTGTCCACAAAGAAGAGAGAGACACATTGGACAGGCCTATGAGGAACATCTCAGGGGAGGCTTCAACTCAGACATCCATAGGAGGAGGGGTAGGGGACGATTCTGGCCCCTGAGGATTAGGATGAGGGTTTAGGCTCTATCCAGTTGGCAATGGGGTGCAGGTAGCATTTTACAGAGTTCTACAGAAGTCTACAGAGCTGCTCTGGCTTTTAATCTCTTAGCTTTCTTTTATTCAAAGCCTTTCTTTTTCTTTCCTGGGATGTTAGTATTTGCCCTTTGCTTTCAGAGGACACCTAATTAATGTTGACACAGACTTCATTGATAAAGAATTCTTTAAAAAGTGTTAAATACAGCGTAGTTTCTAGGGCACTGGATGAACCTCTGCTAGGCAGGCACAGCAGAACGTGGTATGTTGGCTGTAGCCAGTCCAATGCAACAGCATGAAAATTATTTACAGACCTTCAACCTTCTTCCCACGACTGTTGATGCAATTAGAAGTGCTTGTAAATATGCACTTGGTTCCAGGCAATTTCAGAAATTGGGAGTTGACATGATGCTAGCCTGAATAGTCTGCTTTTGAGAAAATTTAATCTAGTTGGTGATTTTTTTTTAAGTACTTGTTTGTGTTCAGCCAAGCTCTTCATTCTACAAAATAGAAATCTGAGGCCCCTTGGGAGAGTAAATTGCTAAAGAAAAATAGGGAGAGATGCAAAACTAGAGCTAAAAGTAGAAGGGTAACAGAACTAGAACTTGTCCCACCTTGTAGTGGTTTCTCTTCGTTTAGCCGCCTAACATCTGGAAACACTAATCCTCAAACATAGGCACCACCCACTTCTGGGAACAGCTGGAGTCCCATAAAGCATCTCTCCTCTGGTTCTGTCTGAATTTGTGGGGAGGCAGGGATGTATTTGGTATATCGAAGGTACTCAATAAATGTTCACAGACTCACAAACTCAGCAAAGGTAAGGACTGATTTTATCCTACTTACTGCTGAAATTCCCATTACTTAGTTCAATCCCAAGTTCATAGTAGGTGCTCCATGAATATTCATAGATAGAACGAATGGATGGTCAAAAAAAAATTTGCTAAATTGAAGCCAAACTTTGGCCCTCACCTTTTAGAAGCTAGTGATCCTGGGAAAATCACTTAACCTCGGAGGCACAAGAACCGTTATGAAGATAAAATGAAATGTGCTCTGGAAAATGTAAAGTACCATCTAAATGCTAGGTTTACTTTCATAAAGTCTAAGGGTGAGTTACTCTTTTCTTCTTTTATCCACTTGGGCATTCATTTTCTGATCCACAAAGTCCCTCTTTGTTCATCTGATGACTTTTACAAGGAGAATGGAGCCCCTACTGGTCAGTGAGTAGAACATTGGCAGGGATTTCTCTCTCTCTCTCTCTCTCTCTCTCTCTCTCTCTCTCTCTCTCTCTCTCCTGTTTTAGAAATGTCCTACCACTTTCAAGATTTCAATGACAGCTCTGCCTCTTTGAAAGTGTTTGATAGCATTTCCTTGCTTTAAATTTAAATAGCTAAAAAAATTAATTTTGCTCTAGAGATTTCTAGCCCTCCCAAAGTGTCACATGGATTTTGAGATATAGAAATCCTGGGCACTCAAAAGACAGGCAGGGCCTCCACTGCCCCCAGTAGTGAGGCTTTCTCCTCTCTCAAGTATAGTTCTATAGGAGGCAAAGCAGTGCTGGCTTACCCCTGTGTTTGAAGTCACATATGGGTTGAGCAGACTTGCCAATTTGTCTCTTCACCTAGAAAAGTGAAGGCAAAACTTGCATGAAGGAATATTTCTACTTTGATGACAAAGTCTACTCGTGAGAAGGATTGGACAGATCTCAAATAAACACCAAAAATGCCAAGAAACTATATATACATATATATACTTCCTTAAAGAAAAAAGTAAAAGATCTCTTAGGTTTAATGATGGGTAAATATGCTGAATAAACAAAAGTTCCCAGACTTAGAGAAGTTGTTCTCAAACTGTGGAGAAGACTGCCYAGGAGAAAGGTCTAAAATATAGATTTCAAAATTCCCAGTCCAATGAACTGAATCACAGTCTCTGAAGTAGGGTCTAGGAACCTACATTTTTTTTTCCTGTCAACAAAAGATCCATTTTTCTACTTTAAAATGGAGAATTTATGGTATATCAATTATGTCTGGATAAAAAAAATAGACACAGATACCCAATAAATTAATTCAAGAAAATAAAAGCATATCACATTGCAATTTAACCTTATAGATATTTTAAATATTTGTTATTTATATTATTATGTTTTTATTGGTCCATTAAAATTATATATAATAGTGGGATTCATTGTGACATATTCATACATGGCACATAATTGGATCAATTTCATCCCCCAATCCTTCTCCTTTCCCTCCCCCTTTCCCTCCCCCTGATTTCCTTCCTTGATTCTACTGGTCTCCCTTCTATTCTTTTTTATTGGTGCGTTATAATCATACATAAAAGTGGGGTTTGTTGTGATGTATTTGTACACGCACATTGCATAATTTGCCCAATTTCATTCCCCAGTACTTCTCCTTTCCCTTCCCTCCTTCTTACCCCTCAATCCCTTTCCTCCATTCTACCTTTCTCCCTTCTATTGTTATGAGATTCCTTTTTATTGTGTCCTCTCTCTCTCTCTCTCTCTCTCTCTCTCTCTCTCTCTCTCGCTTTTGCGTATAAGAGAAAACAGTTGACCTTTGATTTTCTAAGTCTGGCTTATTTCACAGAGTTTTTATCTATTTGCCAGCAAATGACATAATTTTATTCTTAATGACTTAGAAAAACTCCATTATGTATATACATCACATTTTCTCTATCCATTCATCTGTTGATGGACACCTAGCTTGGTTCCCTAACTTGTGAATTGCACTGCTGTAACCATCAGTATACATATATCTCTATAGTATGCTGATTTTAAGAGCAAGGAGTGGAAATGCTGGTGATGAGACTCAATCAGGGCTGAGTTCCATTTCCCCAGATGTTGAATATTGAACWTGGAAGAAATGCCGAGGTAAGRGTAGAAAGCAAGTTTTATTTAAAGGACAGAACAGAGAGAGACTTCTCTGAAGATAAGGGGGCCCAAAGCTGGGTGTCTGAGGAAATGGGACTGTCCTGCCCCTTTTATACATTTTATAGTCCCGTAGTTCTCATGCCCTCCTGCTTCCCTTATCTTAGTGACCAAATGGTGGGGAAAAAGCCTTCCAGGGGTTCCTCTCCAGTGTCTGCCCAAATGGGCAGGAAAGGAGCCTCTCAGGAGGTATTTCATCAACTACCCCTACAACTCCTTGCAGGGAGGAATAATACTCTGGAGGCAGGTAGCTTTGGCAGGAGAGGAGGGGCAAGTGTCCTAGAGATATTAGCATTTTATTTCCTCCTTTAGAACCAGCTCTTACTTAAGACCTACCTGCTCTGTCTTTTTGTCCCCGTCTCAATATGGTAGAAATCTGCATTTTTTTTAAAAAAATTTACTTTTTATTACTTCTAATCAGTCATACATGACAGCAGAAAGTTTTTCAATTCATTGTACACAAATTGGTGCACAATTTTTCATTTCTCT